AATGTCTTTACATCTGTAATATCTTCTGTATTTGCCCATGTACTTATCTTTACTGGTGCTCTTTATATGTTTGTGCTTACTTCAGCTGCTGTCAAGTGTTCTTTATTTTTGAAGGGCTCCCTTCAGTGTTCTTACAGAGCAGATCTCAGTGATTTATTCTCTGAATTTTATTTAATAATGTCTTAATTTAGCTTTCATTTTTGAAGGATAATTTTGATGATGTGGAATTGTATTGGCTGGCATTCTTTATCTTTCAACACAGTATGGCATTTGCAAACCTTTTTTTCTGATAAGCTGTTAATCTTACTAAAGATTCCTTATATGTGATGAATGGTTATTCTCTTGCTTTCAGGATTTTCTTTGTCTTTATCTTTAAGCAGTTTGGCTATATAGGTGCAGATCCCTCTGAGTTTTTCTTACGTGGAGTTTGATGAGCTTATTGGATTTGTAGATTAATATTTTTCATCAAATTTGCAAAATTTTTGCCCATTATTTTTTCCAATATTCTTTGTGTCCATTTTTCTGTTTCTTCTCTGAGACTCCGATTGGTACACTTGATGATGTCCCACAGGATCTCTGTTCATTTTTCTTCAGTCTTTTTCTATTCTCGACTAGGTAATCTCAGTTAACCTGTCTTCAAGTTCACTGATAGTTTCTTCTGTCTGCTCAAATGTACTGTTGGCTCCCTTTTCTTCTCAGTTACATTTCTTCAGCTCTATCATTTTTGTTTTTTTTTAAAAGTAATTTCAATTGCTTTGTTGTTAATTTTATTTGGTAAACATTGTTCTCACAATTTAATTCTTTTTTTTTTCTTTTCTTTCTTTTTTTTTGAGATGGAGTTGTGCTCTTATTGCCCAGGCTAGAGTGCAGTGTCTCGATCTCAGTTCACTGTAGCCTCTACCTCCCAGGTTCAAGCAGTTCTCCTGCTTCAGCCTCCTGAGTAGCTGGGATTATAGGCATGTGCCAACACGCCTGGGTAATTTTTTATTTTTAGTAGAGACAGGGTTTTGCCATGTTAGGCTGATCTCCAGCTCCTGATCTCAGGTGATCCGCCTACCTTGGCCTCTCAGAGTGCTGAGATTACAGGCATGACCCCCTGTACCCGGCCACTTTAATTATTTAGACATAGTTTTTTTAGTTCTTTCAACATATTTCTAATAACTGAATAAAAATCTTCGTTGATTGAATACAAGGTATGTAATTTCTCTGTGAATGTTTCTGTTGACTTCTTTTTTCCTCCCTATGTATAGCTCACCATTCTCTATTTCTTTGCAAGTACCATAATTTGTTTTGGAAAACTGAACATTTAAGAAACAGAGTGTAGCAACTGTGGAACTTAGATTCTTCTCCTCCCTGTGGTTTGTTGTTGTTGCTGTTTGGTTTTTTTTTTTTTTTGAGACAGTCTCCCGCTCTGTCGCCATGCTGGAGTGCGATGGCACGATCTCTGCTCTCTGCAACCTCCGCCTCCCGGGTTCAAGCAGTTTCCCTGCCTCAGCCTCCTGAGTAGCTGGGACTATAGGCACGTGCCACCACACCTGGCTAATTTTTTTTATTTTTAGTAGAGATGGGGTTTCACCATGTTGGCCGGGCTGGTCTCGAACTCCTGACCTCAGGTGATCCACTTGCCCTGGCCTCCCAAAGTGCTGGGATTACAGGTGTGAGCCACCATGCCCAGCCAATCCAGTCTTATACAAACTAATGCAGAGTATGGAACAAAGGAATATTCTCCGGTCACTATTATGAGACTGTCATAATCTTGATAATTAAACCTGATAAGGTCAGTATGAAATGGAAAATTACAAGCTAGTTATACTTATTAGCACAGGCACAGTCCTAAAACTGAACCTCAAAATATAGAGAAGGATTATTTATCTTGAATTGGAATTACTGTCTAATATAGGATGACTAAATGTAGTAGAGTATATCAATTAAGAGCATGGACTTTGTAGCTTGATTGCCTTGGTTTGAATACTAGTTTTACCATTCATTAGCTTGAGGTATATTCTTCTATTCCTTGTCTGTTAATTGGGGTAATAATGGTATCAACTCACAGGGTTTTTTTCTGGTGATTGAATGATTAAAATATGTAAAGTGTTTAGGATGATGTCTGAATACTAGGAGCTAATTGGTATTAGATATAATCATTTACTGTAAATCAATAAAATCAGTTACTGTAATCTACCATGTTAACAGAATAAAGAAGAAAGCTATATGATATATCCCAATAGACAAAAATTAAAATAGTTTATTCACTAGTGATTAAAAATGTAATAGGTTAGAAGGGAGTCTATAAACATGAAAAACTTACATCATATATTTTATTTAATGATGATAGATTTAAAACATTCCTTTTGAGATTCTATCACTGTTTTTTCACAGGACTTAATAATTTAATCAAGGTCAAAAATAAGAGAAAGGAAGGAAGGAAGACAGGTACAAGGAGGAAGGAAAACTGATGTTATTTGCAAAAGAATATATGATTAAAATATTAGAAATATGAAAGTTTTCACAGAATTACTGATTATAAAATCAATATATAAAAAGCAGTTGCAGGAAGTGGCAGTTTCTTAAAAAGAATATATGATACTACAGTTCCATTCCTAGACATATAATCAAAAGAAATAAAAATACATATACATGCAAAGACTTGGAGGTGAATGTTTATAGCTACATTATTGTTAATAGTCAAAAAGTGGAAACAATTCAAGTGTCCATCAGTGAGTGAATGGATAAACAATATGTGTTGTATTCATTCAGTAAAGTACTATTCAGCAATAAAAAGTAATGAACTACTGATATAATATGGATGAACCTTATAAATGGTTATGCTAAATGAATCTATACATACTATATTGGTTCCATTTATATAAAATGTCCAAATCTGTAAAGACAGAAAGCAGGCTACTTACTTAATAATTGCCTGGGGCTGGGGTTTGAGTTGGGATTGTTGCATATGGGCATGAAGGATATGTTTGGGTTGTAAAGATGTTCTAAAACTGGATTATGGTGATGGTTGCACAACTCTATAAATTTACTGAAAATCATTTAATTGTATACAGTTGACCCTTGATAACACGGGTTTAAACTGTATGGGTCCACCTACATGTGGATTTTTTTCAATCAACTGCAATAGAAAGTACAGTATTTGTGGGTTGTGAAACTCATGTATGTGGAGGGCCTACTTTTCCTATATGGGAGTTCCATAGGACTCACTTTGGGACTTGAATATATTCTGATTTTGATATAGGCAGAGAGTCCTGGAAATAATCCCTCAGATATACCAAGGGATGACTGTACTTAATACCCCTATCCTTTCCTTTCTCCCATCCTGATTTGACTATATAAATCCTTAAACTCCTTTTTTGGTGGGAGCCAGGAAGGAGTTGATAGATAAAGGCTAAGAATTTGGATCTGTGAGTATGTGGGTGATACAGACAGGAGGGATCATGAGTGAAATAGATACTGAGAGAATCTGTCTACCTTATATAAACAGTATATTTTGAGAGAAGGAGTTTACTCACATAGACCCTCTCAAACTTATTTATTCATTTACACAAAAAGAGCACCCCTGCTCTGAAAAAGTATAAGATCAGTTAGAAAATATTTGATGTGGTTTACCTCACCTTTCCTTTTACCCATTCATAATCCAATGTGACAATATATACAAACATACTTGTTTATTCTAATAAAAGATTGTAAGCAAGTTAGAAAGGGTAAGTACACAATGAAACTCATTTTTTAAAGCAGTGATGGTTTTTGGAGAAGAGAAGGATTTTTTTTAAATTATAAAATCAGGCTGGGCATGGTGGCTCATGCTTGTAATCCCAGCACTTTGGGAGGCCAAGGTGGGTGAATGACTTGAGGCCAGCCTGGCCATGTGGCGAAACTCTGTCTCTACTAAAAAATTAGCTGGGCGTGTTGGTGGGCATCTGTAGTCCCAGCTGCTCGGGAGGCTGAGACAGGAGAATTGCTTGAAACCTGGAGGTGGAGGTTCCAGTGAGTGAAGATTGCACCATTGCACTCCAGTCTGGGTGACAAGGGTGAAACTCCATCTCAAAACAAAAAGTTATGAAATCAGTATTTCAATTCACCTTTTATAATTTGGATTTCTAAAACGTTTTATTGTCTTCAAAGTTCGTGTATTCCTGTACTTAAACATGTGTTATGTTGGCTGGGTGCAGTGACTCACGCCTATAATCCCAGCACTTTGGGAGGCGCAGGCAGGAAGATCACTTGAGCTTAGGAGTTCAAGACCAGCCTGGGCAATGTAGAAAGACCTTGTCTCTACTAAAAATAAAAAAGTGAACCAGGTGTGGTGATGTGTACCTATAGCCCCAGCTACTTGAAAGGCTAAGGTGGAACGACTGCATTGTTCCAGGAGATGAAGGCTGAGTGAGCTATGATGGTGCCACTTCACTCTAGCCTGGGTGACGAAGTAGAACCCTGTCTCAAAAAAAAACAAAAAAATAGTACTTTATTGCTTGTGATTTATATAACAACAATATGTTTAAATTTTTTTCTTATGTTTCCTTGTGAGTTTTTCAAAAATTTTAATTTTGAGACTTTTTCCTGCAATTATATTGTTTTATTCTTGAGATGGCTAAGAAGTAATTTTATTAGTAAATCATTTAAAAATGAATCATTAGTTATTGTGTTACTTGAGTGACTTTGACTGTATTATTTCTGTATGTTGAGGAAACTGCCTAAGTCATATGTGTGCTATTAAATTAGCACAAACATTTTTGACTCCTGTGTAACTATTTCGTAGGTCAAAAAATAGAAGTGGTAAATTTGAAAGTTGCAAGAATTGTCAAAGCAAAGGCAGAAAGGAGAGCTGAGAAAGGGGTTACTTACTTAAGGATTCCTCTTTGGCCTATAGAGAAATATCCTTCTGTATTTTTTAAATGTATTTATATGCCATGCTATTTCAAGAAACAGTTGCATTTTCTTCTTGCCTTTTCATAGATGGATTTAAATTATTTATTGTATGTTTGATGTAGGAATACGGTTGGACAGAATGAACTGAAAATTGCAAGTGATCAAGTGATAAATTCAGGACTGATTTTTGAAGATAAACTGAAACCTTCCAAACAGTCACTTCAGTCTTACCAGGAGGCTTTGCAGCAGCAGGTATTGATTCATTTACTCATTTACTGTTGAACATCTTAAGTGTTAACACAGTGGTTCCTTAGAACTCAGAGTATGGCAGGGAAGGGGGAAAAACCCAGTTAATTATAATTCAAAATGCTAAGTTTTGAAGTGGTTACATTAAAATGCTGTTGGAAGCATAGGGTAGGGAAAATAATTGCCTGGGGCAGTTGGAAGAACTTCACACATTACTTGATATTTGAGCTGCATGTTGTGTAGTCAATACGTTAGAAGTTGCTGGTGTATACAAAGAATGGAATTGGTGTGGAAGAAGGGGCTGGAGAATTAGATTGTTCTGTTAGATTGTGAAGGACTAGCTAATAAGGGGTTTTCAGTTTCATCTGGTTACGGACAGCCAACGAAGGAATTTTAAGAAAAGAATGAAAGGATTGGTTTTGCTTTGAGCATATATTTTTTAGGAAGATAATTGGTTGATTTGTACAATTGGAAAGAGACGTGGCAGAGAAATTTTTTAGTAGGTAGTCCAGTTAGGAGGTGATGAAGCCCTGAACCAGATGGGGATGCTGGGGAAGACATCTATGAAACAATTCTCAGGTTTCATTGACAGGACTTGGGTATAGGGAATGAGAAATAACAGAGGGTTTTAAAGATGTTTCCTAGGAGAATAATGAGGCTATAAACCAAAATAGGGAATACAGGAAGTAGTTCATGTATACAGAGGAGGATAATGGGTTCTTTTGTAGTTTGTAATATTTGAAGAGAATTTAATAGTAATTATCAAATGTGTGGGATTCTTTGTAGGAATTCCCTTACCTTCTGAGAGGGCCTTAGGACTCTAACTTAGGTACTTTTCTATGGAATTGCACTTGGATTTCTTTTTTTTCTTTTTTTCTTTTTTTTTTGAGATGGAGTTTCACTCTTGTTACCCAGGCTGGAGTACAATGGCGTGATCTCGGCTCACCGCAACCTCCACCTCCTGGGTTCAGGCAATTCTCCTGCCTCAGCCTCCTGAGTAGCTGGGATTACAGGCACGTGCCACCATGCCCAGCTAAATTTTTGTATTTTTAGTAGAGACGGGGTTTCACCATGTTGACCAGGATGGTCTCGATCTCTTGACCTTGTGATCCACCTGCCTTAGCCTCCCAAAGTGCTGGGATTACAGGCGTGATCCACCGTGCCCGGCCGGATTTCTTTTAAAAATACTTTTGTTCAACGTTTACATGGGTGACTTTCTTGAAAGAAAGATTTTTAAAGTTACAGAATTATATTTTTTGTATGCTAGGATTCTACAAATAAGACTGAATTTTAAATTGAGAGTCTGTTTTTGTATTAAGCATATTAAAAACACTACTGACAAAACTAGATTTTTCAACTCTAGGGGTCTAGTTGATGTGTGTGATGACTTCTTTGGCTGTGCTGGAGCAAAAGTTTGCTTAAATTTATCATGCATATGATTATGAGTTCAAAAGTAACTTTCCAAAATGTAAACATTTGTTTGTTGCCTATCCATATGTCTCTACAGAACAACCCTGTGCTTATACTTAGTGATGATAAGAATGCATTTGTTTTTAGTGCTTAATACAGCTTTATAGGCATACCTCAGAAATATTGCTGGTTTGGTTCCAGACCACTACAATAAAGCAAATATCACAAAGACATGAGTCACATGAATTTTTTGGTTTCCCAGTGCATGTAGAAGTTATCTTTATATTATACTATGATCTATTAAGGTGAAATATATTTCTAAAAAAGGAAGATACATAATTTGAAAATACTTTATTGCTAAAAAAAATTTAGCAAGTCATAATCTTTTTGCTGGTGGAGAGTCTTGCCTCAATATTGATGGCTACTGACTGATCAGGGTGGCAGTTGCTGAAGATTGGGTGGCTATGGTAATTTCTGAAAATAAAGCAACAGTGAAGTTTGCTGCATCAGTTAACTCCTCCATTCACGAAAGATTTCCCTATAGGATTTGATGCTGTTTTATACCATTTTATCCACAGTAAAACTTCTTTCAAAGTTTGGAGTCAGTCCTCTCAAAACCCTGCTGATGCTTAGTTTATGTAATATTTCTAAATCCTTTGTTTTCATCTCAGCAATGTTCACAGCATCTTCACCAAGAGAAGACTCCATCTCAAGAAACCACTTTCTTTGCTCATTCGTAAGAAGCAACTCCTTATCCATTAAAATTTTATCATGAGATTGCAATAATTTGGTCAAATCTTCTCGCCTCACTTCTGATTCCAGTTCTCTTGGTATTTCTTCCACATCTGCAGTTACTTCTACCACTGAAGTCTTGAATTCCTCAAAGTCATCCATGAGGGTTGGAGTCAACTTCTTTCAAATTCTGATACTGTTGATATTTTGACTTCCTCCCATGACTCACAAATGTTCTTGGCATCTGGAATGGTAAATGCTCTCCAGGGGGCTTTCAGTTTACCTTTCCCAGATCCATCACAGGAATTACTGTCTGAAACATTTACTGAACAGTAAGAATTCAGTGTCAAAATTACTCCATGAGTTATGGGCTGCAGAATGGATGTTGTATTAGCAAGTATGGCAACAATGTTAATCTTTTATATCTCCATCAGAGCTCTTGGTTGACTAGGTGCATTGTCAGTGAGTGGTCATATTTTGAAAGGAATCTCTTTTTGGTTTAGTAGCAAGTCTGAACAGTGGGCTTAAAATACTCAGTAAACCGTTTTGAAACAGTTGTGTGGCAAAACAGGCTTTGTTTCCTTTCTAGAGCACAGGCAGAGTAGATTTAGCACCATTCTTTTTTTTTTTTTTTTTTTTTTTTTGAGATGGAGTTTCGCTGTTGTTACCCAGACTGGAGTGCAATGGCACGATATCGGCTCACCGAAACCTCCACCTCCTGGGTTCAAGTAATTCTCCTGTCTCAGCCTCCCGAGTAGCTGGGACTACAGGCACACACCACCATGCCCAGCTAATTTTTGTATTTTTAGTAGAGACGGGGTTTCATCTTGTTGACCAGGATGGTCTTGATCTCTTGACCTTGTGATCCACTTGCCTTGGCCTCCCAAAGTGCTGGGATTATAGGCGTGAGCCACTGCGCCCAGCCAGCACCATTCTTAAGGGTCGTAAGATTTTCAGAATGTTACATCAGCATTGGTTTCAACTTAAAGTCACCAGCTGCATTAGGTCCTAATGAGAGAGTCAGCCTGTCCTTTGAAGCTTGAAGCCAGACATTGACTTCTCTTTCCTGGCTATGAAAGTCTTTTAATACAAGGGTGTTTTGTATCTATTGAATGTCTGAGCTGGATCTTATGGGTAACTTGCTGTAGCTTCTCCATCAGCACTTCCTTCGTCATGTTGCACTTTTTTTTCTTTTTTTTTTTTCCCGAGACAAAGTCTCTGTCACCCAGCTTAGGCTGGAATGCAATGGTGTGATCTTGGCTCACTGCAACTTCTGCCTCCCTGATTCAAATGATTCTCTTGCCTCAGCCTCCGGGGTAGCTGGGACTACAGGCGCCTACCACAATGCCCAGCTAATTTTGTTTGTTTGTTTGTATTTCTAGTATAGGTGGGGTTTTGCCATGTTGGTCAGGCTGTCTCGAACTCCTGAACTCAAGTGATCTGCCCACCTCAGCCTCCCAAAGTATTGAGATTACAGGCGTTAGTCACTGTGCCTGGCCCATGCTGTACTTTTATGTTACAGAGATGACAGCTTTCCCTCAACTTCATGAACCAACCTCTGCTAACTTCCAGGTTCACTTCTGCAGCTTCCTCACTTCTGTCAGCCTTCATAGGATTGAAGAAAGTTAGGGCCTTGCTTTGGATTAGGCTTTGGCTTACGGGAATGCTGGGCTGGTTTGATCTTCTATCTGACCACTAAAACTTTCTCTATAACAGCAATAAAGCTGTTTCACTTTCTTATCATTCATGTGTTTACTGGAGTAGCATTTTTAATTTCCTTCAAGAATTTTTCCTGTACATTTACAACTTGTCAAAGTGTTTATTTAGCAAAAGAAGCTTAACTTTCAGCCTATTATATGCATTCAGCAAGCTTAATCATTTCTAGTTTTTGATTTAAAATTAGAGATGTGACCCTTTCATTCCATTGAACACTTGCATGCCATTGTTGTGTTATTAATTGGCCTAATTTCAATATTCTATCAGGGAAAAGGGAGATCCAAGGAGAGGGAAAGAGACGGGAATGGCTGATTGGTAGAATAGTCAGGATACACATGACATTTATTCATTAAGTTCACCATTTTATGTGTATGTGATTCATGGTGCCCCAAAACAATTATAATAGCAACACCAAAGATCACCAATTGCAGATCACCATAACAGATATGAAAAAGTGGCCAGGCATGGTGGCTCATTCCTGTAATCTTAGCACTTTGGGAAGCCGAGGTGGGTGGATCACAGGTCAGGAGATTGAGACCAGCCTGGCTAACACTGTGAAACCCTGTCTCTACTTTAAATACAAAAAGTTAGCCAGGCATGGTGGCACATGCCTGTAATCCCAGCTACTTGGGAGGCTGTGGCAGGAGAATCACTTGAACCTGGGAAATGGAGGTTGCAGTGAGCCAAGATCGTGCCGCTGCACTCTAACCTGGGTGACAGAGTGAGACTCCATCTCAAAAACCAAAAAAAAAAAAAAAAAAAAAAAAAAAAGTTTGAAATATTGTGGGAATTACCAGAATGTGACACAGCCATGAAGTTAGTCCATGCTGTTGGAAAAATGTTACCAATAGACTTCCTCAATGCAGGGTTGCCACAAACCTTCAATTTGTAAACAATGCAGTGTCTGCAAAGCACAATAAAGTGCAGCACAGTAAAATGAGGTATGCTCCTGTTTAAAGTTGCGGAGCATTCCCCAGAGAGCATTGATCCCCCAACCTCTAAATTCTGGGAATAGAGTTTACCTAGGGAAAGTAGGCCTGGTAAGGTTAAGGGTTCACTTTGTGGCTGGGCATTCCCCTTGAAAGGATAGATGAAAAAGGAACTTAGGGAGATCTGATGGTCCCATGAAACTGTCAGGGTTAGAGAGAGAATGGCTCAGGTAGACACTGGGGGAGGGGAAGACGAGTTGGTTAAGTCTGAAGTAGCCTGAGTAGCTAGAAAGGCATTTGATGGTATATAGAGGAACAGGGGCTATGTATTCCAGCCACTGAAGTATTTTTATTTTTAATATTATTTATTTAGAGACAGCATTTTGCTTATTGTTGCCTAAGCTGAAGTGCCGTGGCACGATCCTGGCTCACTACAACCTCTGCCTCCTGGGTTCAAGCGATTCTTCTGCCTCAGCCACCCAAGTAGCTGGGATTACAGGTGTGTGCCACCACACCCAGCTAATGTTTGTATTTTTAATAGAGACAGGGTTTCGCCATGTAGGCCAGGCTGGTCTCGAACTTTTTGCCTTAAGTGATCTGCCCACCTCGGCCTCTACAGGCATGAGCCACCACACCTGGTCTAAAATATTTTTACATTGAGTATTACATATATTTGTGGTTTTAACCTTTGTAGGGGAGCATACTGGAAAAAAAAAACAAAATGTGTAAGTGTGTGTGTGTGTGTGTGTGTGTGTTAAAAACCCAGTTTTGTTTTGTTTTTTAAATAACATCTGGTATTACTAACCTCTTGTGTCAAAATACTTGTCAGCATTTATTTTAAATACATTTTATGTTGTCAAGATTCGGGAAAGAGAAGAAAGAAGGAAGAAAGAACGTGAAGAAAAAGAAGAATATGAAGCTAAATTAGAAGCTGAAATGAGAACATATAATCCTTGGGGAAAAGGCGGAGGTGGTGCCCCTCTCAGGGATGCAAAAGGAAATCTGATAAGTATGTTATTTCCATTGACTTGTTTTTAAAATAAGGTAAATTATTTTTAACTTTTGAAAATACTGGGGAGTAGAAAAAGGTAGAAATCATAGCCTCTAGAGCAAGGCCTCTTTATGTAACTTAATGCATAAGAGGTATTTTGAGAATAAATATAATAACAGAGGCTAGAAAGCATTTCTTCTTCAGAATACTATTCATTTCTTTTTATTACAAATATTTCATCCTCTGATGTTGATAACCCAGCTGCAGAGAAAAGCTCCTGTTATATGATAAGTTTTTACCTGAACTAGTACTTAAAATATTTTGTTTTCTTGTAAAAATGATAAAACCCATATTACAAATTAAAAAAAATAGTATGATGTCTTAGAAATAAAGGCTGTAAAACAGTTTTAGGAGGGGATTTTGTGTTTAATTTATATGTGCAATATACCTGCTCATTGCAAGGATTCTTTTGTGGAGGGGAAGAAAAGAGACAGTCATAGAAACTTTCTAGCAGCTTTCATAATTTGATTATTTATCTTTCATAATTTATTTATCTTTCATTTATGTACTCTCAAAAATGTTTGATCTAGTAACCACACAACAAATACCTTGAGTGTCTTTATAGAACTTGGTATATACAATTGTCTGTTGGTAACCATGGGACATTGATTCCAGGATCTCCTGTGAATACTCAAATCGATGGATGCTGAAGTTCCTGATAAAAAATTGGTATAGTGTTTACATATAACCTACACACATCCGCCTGTATACTTTAAATCATCTCTAGAATACTTGTAATACCTAATACAGTGAAAATGCTATGTAAATAGTTGTGATCTTGTATTGCTTAGGGAATAATGACAAGAAAAAAAGACTTTTTACATGTTCAGCACAGATGAAAGCATCAATTTTTTTTGTTTTTTAATGTTTTCGATTTGTGGTTGGTTGAATCTACAGATGTGGAATCCGTGGTTACAAAGGACCGTTGTATGTGTTAGGATGGTCTCTGCTTAGCTGTTAGTTAAGCAGAATAAAAGTAGAGCAAAGGTACACATTTCATGTTCTTTAGGTATTATAGGAATAGATGAGTGATAGAATTGAAAGATTGGTTGTTGAGTTAGAATTCTTATGTATTATGCCTTTGGTTTATTGTTAAATGTGTGCGTGTATGTGTGTGTGTATGTGTTTTTAAAGATATATTTGAGGCCCACTTTATTTTTTTGAGACGGAGTTTCACTCTGTCGCCCAGGCTGGAGTGCCATGGCACCATTTCGGCTCACTGCAACCTCTGCCTTCCGGGTTGAATCAATTCTACCTCAGCCTCCCTAGTCTCTGGGCTTTACAAGCATCCATCACCATGCCTGGCTAATTTTTGTATATTTAGTAGACATGGGGTTTCGCCATGTTGGTCAGGCTGGTCTCAAACTCCTGACCTTAGGTGATCCACTCACCTTGACCTCCCAAAGTGTTGGGATTACAGGCATGAGTCACTGTGCCCGGCCTACTTTAATTTTAATAACTCTTTTTTCTTCCCAAAAGGTTTGTTCCTTTTCTATCTTCACTTCATTAATAATTTTCTCACAGTTTTGAAAGAGTGGAACTCTTATTACATTATCAATGAAATGATTTTAGATGATGCCTAGCTAAGCATTTCTTATTTTATTTATTTATTTATTTATTTTGAGATGGAGTTTTGCGCTTGTTACCCAGGCTGGAGTGCAATGGCGCAATCTCGGCTCACGGCAACCTCCGCCTCCTGGGTTCAGGCAATTCTCCTGCCTCAGCCTCCTGAGTAGCTGGGATTACAGGCACGTGTCACCATGCCCAGCTAATTTTTTGTATATTTTTTAGTAGAGACCGGCTTTCACCATGTTGACCAGGATGGTCTCGATCTCTTGACCTCGTGATCCACCCGCCTCGGCCTCCCAAAGTGCTGGGATTACAGGCTTGAGCCACCGCGCCCGGCCAGCATTTCTTATTTTAATAAATAAGTGTTTACTTGAAAATATATAAGAAAAACACTAGTTTTCCATTTATAGTGCTGTAACATTTTTTTTTTAAAGAAATTAAAGGTGTTAGTCCAGGTTTCTACTTAATGGAAAGTGCTGTAAAAAGCAAACCCAAATTCTCAGAAGCTTGAGGCCTCTCTTGTAGGCATCCACTTTTGTCCCACTCTGATGCTGTTGGGTGGTTCTCCTGCAAGAAGTGACTCGGGGATCTATTGTATTATTGCTTCATTTTAGAGTCCTTTTCTTCTTGTCCTGGGACAAATTGAGGATTTTGTTGGGGCCTGGCCTGGATGTGGAGGAAGATCACTTTTGCCTTCTTTCCATTGTTCAGACCTATATAGGGTCTAACCTAACTGCTTGGGAGGCTGGGAAGTTTACCTTCCTTTACGCTCAGGAGGACATAGGATTAATAGCCCTATGGCCAATCTTTGCTACAGTAAATTTAAATTGTAAATTGATAGAAATATGCTAGTTAGCGTGAAAGTTGTGTTTCACTGACTGAAACATTAGAAAACATTGGGATAGAACATTTTTCTAAAATCTTACCTCTAACTATTTCTAGTTAAAAGAATACAGTTATGGTGTTTGTATGCCTTTAATTGGTGGAAGTGAGGAAGATAAATGTGGGTTATTAAATTATAAAACATTGTTTTAGAATTGCTTGACCTAATGAGTATGGAGAAAATGTTTGAGATTTCAATTTTTAATAGTAATGTGGGCTTATTTAATGCTGTCTTCATGCCATGAAATAGAAAAGACATTTTATCGAATACAGTAGAACTCTTTTAATGGTATTTTCAAAGCAAGTATACTCATCACTTAAAGAATATCAGTTTATGGCTGGGTGCTGTGGCTCATGCCTGTCATCCCAGCACTTAGGGAGGCTGAGGCAGGTGGATCACGAGGTCAAGAGATCAAGACTATCCTGGCGAACGTGGTGAAACTCCATCTTTACTAAAAATACAGAAATTAGCTGGACGTGGTGGTGTATGCCTATAGTCCCAGCTACTTGGAGGCTGAGGCAGGAGAATCACTTGAACCTGGGAGGCGGAGGTTGCAGTGAGCTGAGATCGCACCATTGCACGTCAGCCTGCCGACTGAGTAAGACTCCATCTCAGGAAAAAAAAAAAAAAAGGTATCAGTATGTGGTTGCTACATTTTTTGGGGGGTGGGGAAATGGATTTTGTTCTGTCACCCAGGCTGGAATGCAATGGCGCAATCTCAGGTCATTGCAACCTCCGCCTCTTGGGTTCAAGCAGTTTTGCTGCCTCAGCTTCTGGAATAGCTGGGGTTATAAGCATGCACCACCATACCTGCCTAATTTTGTGTATTTAGGAGAGACACGGTTTCACCATGGTGGTCAGGCTGGTCTTGAACTCCTGACCTGCGTTGATCCACCTGCCTTGGCCTCCCAAAGTGCTGGGATTACAGGTGTGAGCTACTACACCCAATGTAGCTGCTACATTTTAGAGAAGGTGAGAACTTTACATTTGAAATGTGTAGTATAGAGCAGTCTGATGACTAAACCATATAACATCTGTTCATTATCTTGGCTAACTTTAATTCTGCTGCTCACTTTTCTAATTACTCTTGTTTTTTTTGATCATTTATTCAAAAGAAATTAATAAATTGAATCTTTACTCTGCACCCTTAGCTCTCTAAGATCTATTTTTTTTTTTGGACAGAGTCTTACTCTGTCGCCAGGCTGGAGTGAAGTGGCATGATTTCGGCTTACTACAACCTCTGCCTCTCAGGTTCAAGTGATTCTCCTGCCTCAGCCTCCCAAGTAGCTTGGACTACAGGCACACACCACCATGCCTAGTTAATTTGTATATTTTAGTAGAGATGGGGGGCAGGTTTCACTATGTTGGCCAGGATGGTCTCAATCTTCTGACCTCATGATCCACCTGCCTCAGCCTTCCAAAGTGCTTGATTACAGGTGTGAGCCACCATGCCCTGCCAAGAAGATCCCTTTATAAAGCATAGTTTATTAATAAAATACAAAAATATGTTTGTTTTGTTTTTTGTTTTTTGAGGTGAAGTCTAGCTCTGTCACCAGGCTGGAGTGCAGTGGCACGGTCCCGGCTCACTGCAACTCCTACTCCCTGGTTCAAGCAATTCTTCTGCCTCAGCCTGCCGAGTAGCTGGGATTACAGGTACACACCACCATGCCCAGCTAATTTTTATTAAAAAAGTATGTTAATTTATGCAAAAGATAGTATCACGTCTTTAAATATTTCTCATTTTAATTATTTTTACGGTACTTTGTTGTCTTTCTCAGTTCTTCATTAAATTTCTTTATTTAGGTTATTTGAAACTTTATGTGAAACCATAGATGTCAAATGTTAAAAAATAGACACCGAAAGAAAAATGTCAATAAAAATAAAATTAAAAGATAAAATTAAAAACAGACTTGAAAGATGGTATCTCATAGTTCCAATTGATTAACAGGATGATTAGTTATCTATATATATTTTTCAAGTTCAGTGTGTGTCTGTGTGTTTCTTTAATTGTACTTTAAATTCTGGGGTCCATGTGCAGAACATGAGGGTTTGTTGCATAGGTATACACGTGCCATGGTGGTTGGTTGCATCCATCACCCCGTCATCTACATTAGATATTTCTCTTAAAGCGATTTCTCCCATATCTCCCGTACCCCACAACATTCCCTGGTGTGTGATGTTCCCCTCCCTGTGTCCATGTGTTCTCCTTGTTCAACTCCCCCTTATGAGTGACAACATGCGGCGTTTGATTTTCTGTTCTTGTGTTACTTTGCTGAGAATGATGGTTTCCAGCTTCATCCATGTCCCTGCAAAGGGCATGAATCCATCCTTTTTTTATGGCTGCACAGTATTCCATGGTGTATATGTGCCACATTTTCTTTATCCAGTCTATCATTGATGGGTGTTTGGGTTGGTTCCAAGTCTTTGCTATTCTGAACAGTGCCACAATAAACATACGTGTGCATGTGCCTTTATAGTAGAATGATTTATAATTCTTTGGGTATAT